GAAACTTACTGACTCTTACCTAGTCTCTGATAGATATTATACTAGACTGAAACTAACTGACTCTTACCTAGTCTCTGATAGATATTATACTAGTCTGAAACTTACTGTCTTTTACCTAGTCTCTGATAGATATTATACTAGTCTGAAACTTACTGACTCTTACCTAGTCTCTGATAGATATTATACTAGTCTGAAACTTACTGACTCTTACCTAGTCTCTGTTAGATATTATACTAGTCTGAAACTTGCTGACTCTTACCTAGTCTCTGATTGATATTATACTAGTCTGAAACTAACTGACTCTTACCTAGTCTCTGATAGATATTATACTAGTCTGAAACTTGCTGACTCTTACCTAGTCTCAGATAGATATTATACTAGTCTGAAACTAGCTGACTCTTACCTAGTCTCTGATAGATATTATACTAGTCTGAAACTAACTGACTCTTACCTAGTCTCTGATAGATATTATACTAGTCTGAAACTAACTGACTCTTACCTAGTCTCTGATAGATATTATACTAGTCTGAAACTAGCTGACTCTTACCTAGTCTCTGATAGATATTATACTAGTCTGAAACTTACTGACTCTTACCTAGTCTCTGATAGATATTATACTAGTCTGAAACTAACTGACTCTTACCTAGTCTCTGATAGATATTATACTAGTCTGAAACTAACTGACTCTTACCTAGTCTTTGATAGATATTATACTAGTCTGAAACTAGCTGTCTCTTACCTAGTCTCTGATAGATATTATACTAGTCTGAGACTAACTGTCTCTTACTTAGTCTCTGATGGATAGTATACTACTCTGAAACTAACTGTCTCTTTCCTAGTCTCTGATAGATATTATACTAGTCTGAAACTAGCTGACTCTTACCTAGTCTCTGATAGATATTATACTAGTCTGAAACTAACTGACTGACTCTTACCTAGTCTCTGATAGATATTATACTAGTCTGAAACTAGCTGACTCTTACCTAGTCTCTGATAGTTATTATACTAGTCTGAAACTAGCTGACTCTTACCTAGTCTCTGATAGTTATTATACTAGTCTGAAACTAACTGACTGACTCTTACCTAGTCTCTGATAGATATTATACTAGTCTGAAACTAACTGACTCTGACCTAGTCTCAGATAGATATTATACTAGTCTGAAACTAACTGACTCTTACCTAGTCTTTGATAGATATTATACTAGTCTGAAACTAGCTGTCTCTTACCTAGTCTCTGATAGATATTATACTAGTCTGAAACTTGCTGTCTCTAACCTAGTCTCTGATAGATATTATACAAGTCTGAAACTAGCTGTCTCTTACCTAGTCTCTGATAGATATTATACAAGTCTGAAACTTGCTGACTCTTACCTAGTCTTTGATAGACATTATTCTCGTCTGAAACTTGCTGTCTCTTACCTAGTCTCAGATAGATATTATACTAGTCTGAAACTAACTGTCTATTACCTAGTCTCGGATAGATATTATACTAGTCTGAAACTAACTGACTCTTACCTAGTCTCAGATAGATATTATACTAGTCTGAAACTTGCTGTCTCTTACCTAGTCTCAGATAGATATTATACTAGTCTGAAACTAACTAACTCTTACCTAGTCTCTGATAGATATTATACTAGTCTGAAACTAACTAACTCTTACCTAGTCTCTGATAGATATTATACTAGTCTGAAACTAACTGACTCTTACCTAGTCTTTGATAGATATTATACTAGTCTGAAACTAGCTGACTCTCACCTAGTCTTTGATAGTTATTATACTAGTCTGAAACTAACTGACTCTCACCTAGTCTCTGATAGATACTATACTAGTCTGAAACTAGCTGTCTCTTACCTAGTCTCTGATAGATATTATACAAGTCTGAAACTAGCTGACTCTTACCTAGTCTCTGATAGATATTATACTAGTCTGAAACTAGCTGACTCTTACCTAGTCTTTGATAGATATTATACTAGTCTGAAACTAGCTGACTCTTACCTAGTCTCTGATAGATATTATACTAGTCTGAAACTTACTGTCTCTTACCTAGTCTCTGATAGATATTATACTAGTCTGAAACTTACTGACTCTTACCTAGTCTCTGATAGATATTATACTAGACTGAAACTAACTGACTCTTACCTAGTCTCTGATAGATATTATACTAGTCTGAAACTTACTGTCTTTTACCTAGTCTCTGATAGATATTATACTAGTCTGAAACTTACTGACTCTTACCTAGTCTCTGATAGATATTATACTAGTCTGAAACTTGCTGACTCTTACCTAGTCTCTGATAGATATTATACTAGTCTGAAACTAACTGACTCTTACCTAGTCTCTGATAGATATTATACTAGTCTGAAACTTGCTGTCTCTTACCTAGTCTCAGATAGATATTATACTAGTATGAAACTAGCTAACTCTTACCTAGTCTCTGATAGATATTATACTAGTCTGAAACTAACTGACTCTTACCTAGTCTCTGATAGATATTATACTAGTCTGAAACTAACTGACTCTTACCTAGTCTCTGATAGATATTATACTAGTCTGAAACTAGCTGTCTCTTACATAGTCTCTGATAGATATTATACTAGTCTGAAACTAGCTGACTCTTACCTAGTCTCTGATAGATATTATACTAGTCTGAAACTTACTGACTCTTACCTAGTCTCTGATAGATATTATACTAGTCTGAAACTAGCTGACTCTTACCTAGTTTCTGATAGATATTATACTAGTCTGAAACTAGCTGACTCTTACCTAGTCTCTGATAGATATTATACTAGTCTGAAACTAACTGACTCTTACCTAGTCTCTGATAGATATTATACTGGTCTGAAACTAGCTGACTCTTACCTAGTCTCAGATAGATATTATACTAGTCTGAAACTAACTGACTCTTACCCAGTCTCTGATAGATATTATACTAGTCTGAAACTAACTGACTCTTACCTAGATCTCTGATAGATATTATACTAGTTTGAAACTAACTGACTCTTACCTTGTCTTTGATAGTATATTATACTAGTCTGAAACTAACTGACTCTTACCCAGTCTTACCTAGATATTATACTACTCTTGTATAACGAAATGCAGCGATTTGATTTGATTGTACGTCAGAGAATTCAGCCAATCAGAGCTTTGTGTTTACAAACTTTCTGCCGATGATTCTGATTGGCTGTATCAAATCTCTGCATTTACAAACTTTGGTGATTGATATGTTGGCTATTGCAGTCTAGGTATTGGACGCAGTTCTTAATAGCTTAACTTTGTGACGATGACAAGCTTTCGACAGAGATTTTGAACGTTATGTTATGCTATGTCTGGCTAGTTATGTATTAGAGCCCGGGAACAGTCGAAAAGTTTCGGACAAGCAGAATTGTATAGAAAAATTCTAATTTCGACTCGAAATTGTCACTTAATTCCTAACTATTGACTACAAGATGAAATTATTTAGTCAATGACTAAAACGTCTGATTTTATATCAGTGAAAATAGTTCCATTAGAAACAGACGAATAAACCAATTTACATCCATTAAGTAAATATCAATACTCCGTACAAATAAAACCCTAATAAAAATCCAATTTCTATTTGTGCGATTGATTAATTTGTTCGGTTGTAAGAATTGGAGGATGGCTGTTCGTGTCTAAGATGTTGATAGTTTGTCAAATTAGATCCGATACATGATCCTATAGAACATGTAGTTCATTTTGATCAGGTTTTCAGATACCAACCGATTAAACAAATGTTTTATAACCCAGTGGCTCAACTAAATGAATAGGTGTCCGTCGACCTAAGTGTGTTTGGGCCTCTTCCTTGGGGAATTGTTTATAACATTATGCTCACCTACATTTTTTTCTTGGCGTAGGTCCCCTCAGGGTTGGGGGCTCGTGGACTTGGTTCAACCAGTTTCTATAGTAGTCGAGCTACTGTTATAACCTCTTAGTTTTCCTTATTGATCTGTTGATCACTTGTACAAAGTCGGAATGTATACCTGAATTTAACCAAGGAATCGCGGGACTCATTTTGTGTCTATGACTGAAATGACATGAAATTAATGGAGCTTTACGTCCTACTTCTTTGCACCTGGGTTAATGGAGGGAAATTTTTCCATGGCATGTCATAAGCTTATTAATTCTTTTATTTCCAACCAGACATATGTGTTTATGGCTGAGAATGGATGTAAAGATAGCTATATCATATAGATTAGACCAGTCTTTAGGCTACCATAGAATAGATGTTCAGATAGCTATATCATATAGATTAGACCAGTCTTTAGACTACTATAGAATAGATGTTCAGATAGCTATATCATATAGATTAGACCGATCTTTAGGCTATCAGTACTATAGAATAGATGTTCAGATAGCTATATCATATAGATTAGACCAGTCTTTAGACTACTATAAAATAGATGTTCAGATAGCTATATCATATAGATTAGACCATTCTTTAGACTACCATAGAATAGATGTTCAGATAGCTATATCATATAGATTAGACCGGTCTTTAGGCTACCATAGAATAGATGTTCAGATAGCTATATCATATAGATTAGACCGGTCTTTAGACTACCATAGAATAGATGTTCAGATAGCTATATCATATAGATTAGACCGGTCTTTAGACTACCATAGAATAGATGTTCAGATAGCTATATCATATAGATTAGACCAGTCTTTAGACTACTATAGAATAGATGTTCAAATAGCTATATCATATAGATTAGACCGGTCTTTAGACTACCATAGAATAGATGTTCAGATAGCTATATCATATAGATTAGACCAGTCTTTAGACTACTATAGAATAGATGTTCAGATAGCTATATCATATAGATTAGACCGGTCTTTAGACTACCATAGAATAGATGTTCAGATAGCTATATCATATAGATTAGACCGATCTTTAGGCTATCAGTACTATAGAATAGATGTTCAAATAGCTATATCATATAGATTAGACCGGTCTTTAGACTACCATAGAATAGATGTTCAGATAGCTATATCATATAGATTAGACCGGTCTTTAGACTACCATAGAATAGATGTTCAGATAGCTATATCATATAGATTAGACCGATCTTTAGGCTATCAGTACTATAGAATAGATGTTCAGATGGCTATATCATATAGATTAGACCGGTCTTTAGACTACTATAGAATAGATGTTCAAATAGCTATATCATATAGATTAGACCGGTCTTTAGACTACCAGTACTATAGAATAGATGTTCAGATAGCTATATCATATAGATTAGACCGGTCTTTAGGCTACCATAGAATAGATGTTCAGATAGCTATATCATATAGATTAGACCGGTCTTTAGACTACCATAGAATAGATGTTCAGATAGCTATATCATATAGATTAGACCAGTCTTTAGACTACCAGTACTATAGAATAGATGTTCAGATAGCTATATCATATAGATTAGACCAGTCTTTAGGCTACCATAGAATAGATGTTCAGATAGCTATATCATATAGATTAGACCGGTCTTTAGACTACCAGTACTATAGAATAGATGTTCAGATAGCTATATCATATAGATTAGACCGGTCTTTAGACTACCAGTACTATAGAATAGATGTTCTGATAGCTGTATCATATAGATTAGACCAGTCTTTAGACTACTATAGAATAGATGTTCAGATAGCTATATCATATAGATTAGACCAGTCTTTAGACTACCATAGAATAGATGTTCTGATAGCTATATCATATAGATTAGACCGGTCTTTAGACTACCATAGAATAGATGTTCAGATAGCTATATCATATAGATTAGACCGGTCTTTAGGCTACCATAGAACAGATGTTCAGATAGCTATATGATATATATTAGACTGGTCTTTAGACTACCATAGAATAGATGTTCAGATAGCTATATCATATAGATTAGACCGGTCTTTAGACTACCATAGAATAGATGTTTAGATAGCTATATCATATAGATTAGACCGGTCTTTAGACTACCATAGAATAGATGTTCAGATAGCTATATCATATAGATTAGACCAGTCTTTAGACTACCATAGAATAGATGTTCAGATAGCTATATCATATAGATTAGGCCGGTCTTTAGGCTACCATAGAATAGATGTTCAGATAGCTATATCATATAGATTAGACCAGTCTTTAGACTACTATAAAATAGATGTTCAGATAGCTATATCATATAGATTAGACCGGTCTTTAGACTACCATAGAATAGATGTTCAGATAGCTATATCATATAGATTAGACCAGTCTTTAGAATACCATAGAATAGATGTTCAGATAGCTATATCATATAGATTAGACCAGTCTTTAGACTACCATAGAATAGATGTTCAGATAGCTATATCATATAGATTAGACCGGTCTTTAGGCTACCATAGAATAGATGTTTAGATAGCTATATCATATAGATTAGACCGGTCTTTAGGCTATCAGCATTTCCAATAGAATGAAAACAGGTTTAACTATTTGTCAAATGAAGAAGAAAAACGATGATTTAATTCTTGATAGCAGCGTGGTAATCCTACGTTTAAAGAAATTACAGATGTAAAAAATAAAATGGAAAATTGAGTTCTATTACAACGAATCGATAGAAAATCTTTTCCTCAACGGAGAAAATTATTCTATAAACACAAGAGGTCGCCACTCGTCAATAAATCAGCATGGCGGCACTTTACTTTCTGAGTATATTCACTAGATAAAAAAATAATAAAACTGAAATTAAACTAGATAACATCTCGATATAGAGTTCAGGATGTCGTGTCTAGAAAGCTAGACAAATTTTGACAGCTAGATAGTTTAAATGTTGATGGTTGTTTAGCTATATACGAAATATCTGACTTTGATAGTTGCCTTTGATAGTTGACTTTGATAGTTGACTTTGATAGTTGACTTTGACAGTTGACTTTGATAGTTGACTTTGATAGTTGACTTTGATAGTTGACTTTGACAGTTGACTTTGATAGTTGACTTTGGTAGTTTTAAATGTCGTCTTCGGCTACATCTTTTAGCTATACACGAAATTTCGTGTTAGCAAACCGAACCAAATCGAATCGAACTGAATTGGATTCTGATTCAGTAATCAAATTGTGCAGTAGGAAAGGGGAATAATACTATCTAGGCTGCCCGTTTGTATAATGACGACAATACCATTAACGATCAAAGATTTATAATACATTATCTGAGAATTATACCACTTCTAACAACTAGTCTCAGCTAGTCTGAAACTAAATCGAAAACTGTTTCTTACTCTTATCTGGTGTATGAATGTTGACCATCCATCAATTGTTTAAGCAGTTTTCAACCATGCTGGATCAGTCGTTTCGCATTAGAAGTGGAAAGTGGAAGTGGATAGATCTACATCTTCACAATGTCAAGCTATTACAAACTTCGCACTTTCACCTGGACTACAATAGTCACTATTCGTGTATCACGGAATGTAGAGAATACAGTCAATCAGAGTCCTCAATGGAAAAGCTGTAAACATTGTGGCTTTGTGTTCACAGATTTTCTGTTCAGGCTTCTGGTTGGCTGTATTCGCCGGCGTACAAACCAAACAAATGACTTCATTTACAAACTTACATGATACAAGAAAGGTGACTATTTCGGTCAAGGTATAAGACAAAGTTTGTAAGCTTGACATTGTGCAGATACAAGAAAGGTGACTTTTGTAGTCAAGATATAAGTACGACTATACATGTACTGTCAAATAGGCATCGAGTTTGGGTGTGGGTTTTGGACTATAATAGAAAGTTCTATTATTGGATTAATGATCTAACCATTCTAGGAGCAGACTATCTCCTATTAATTATGTATTAATCCGCCATGTCGAATCACATCCAAATCACATTTGTTGACTTTATTTGACAATTTGACAATAAGTCGAGATTTCCACGAGAAAACATTCGTCCAATAAACGTCAGTAGAATAATACGGTATCACGATATTGTCTGAATGCATAATTTTTATATTATCTTTGAAGCAATAGATGTGGCTTGAGGACAAGGGGACAACGAATCTGAATAAATTTGCATTTAGTTGTATTTTTTGCAATCATTGATGTCGATTTGATTTTTGCAAATGAAAAAACTCTTCCATTAGAAGCACAATTTATACGACCAACAAAATAACAAAAGATCATCCATCAGGAAGGTTAAAGGGTTTGCTGACTTATCGTGTAAACCATTGTTTCTTAAACTGGGATTAAATTTTAGTGTATCGGGGACACTGATAGCACCAATTTGCACCATTCCAATTTTCAATCAGACGATTATGGTTCCTGCAATTCCACTAATACTAAGTGTTTTATGACGTTTCTTATCGCGAAAGGCATTGTGTGTTTAAGAATATTTTGTAGGTAATTACGCCAGAAACTGCTAGTTTTAGTGAAATTATCGTGGCCGATACACATACATGTTAAAGAAACATATTAAGTCGCATATTTCTTATTTCGTAAAAATGGTAGACTACAGCCAGTCATAGTGCACGAGCCACATCTTGTTTTAATACTATAGAAGACTTCTTCTTTATTTTATTGTTGAAAGAAACTTGTTTTACTTGTGTAAAAGAATTGGGCTTAACACTTAATTTGACGCATACCTATCCAAATCAGTTGAAATTAGCTTCTTTTAAAACATTTCACAGATCGGCTGGCCCTATTCATGGCTAATTTAGAGTTCAAAAGGCAATAAGTTGAGACAAATACCTATAGAGCGTTCACTTTGAATGGACGCTACTTGTTGTGGATATGCGATTAACTTGATAGCACATGAGATAGTATTTACATGCTGATTTGAACGCATATTATCTGTCAATATACGATTTAAGTAGTATATAAGACATAACTATTATTTGATAAAACCCCGATTTTAAGTCTAGTGTCGTGTATGAGAGTTGAAGTGACTCTAAAGACAATGATCCTACATCATTAATCACAATTTCACGGACATTCCACAATTCCTTTTAAAATGTCATTATAATCGTGGCAAAACTACTGCGTGTTATCTGGTTTGTGCACTATCACCACTAGAAAATTTTTTATCCTCTTTCATCTTTCTTCTTCAAAAGGAATAATTAAGGGATATGCTCCAATCGTCCAAAGATTTTATTTTTTAGGCTGTCAGTGAGTGTACAGGTAGCATTTGCCCCCTAGGGAAATGGTTTGTTTCCCTTAATAGAACCCCCACTTTATCTTTTCAGAAATCAAAAATATGATTTTTTGTTTGTACGTTTAAGCCCAAAATATTTGTCATAATATAACAAATCAATTCTGTTTTCGAAACGTTTCTAATGCTACAACCCTTGCACTGTTCTCAGACGTTCCATTGGCCTATACACTTCATCGGAGTTTGAATCTTTCCATTCTCTGGAGGCTGGAGCCGATACTGAACTATCATGGTTTTAACAGAGTAATTATTGAAACTCGATTTAATGATAGCACTACTTGTTTAATTGTGTTAATAAATCCAATATCGTTTGCTTATATAAACATAATAACGAGAGGACATGATCTAGACAAGATATCAGATGATCGGTAAATTACAGTTTTACGTCTCTGGGAAGTTTTTACATAGCTTTACTTAGGGACCTGGTACTTTGATCCAACTTTATATAGCCACAATTAAATCGTTTATTTATAAATACTTACTCATTTATAATTGACATACTTCTTCATGTGAAAAGTTCATTAGCTGCTACCAATATGTTGCTAAAATGTTGTTTGGATTTTGGGCTTGTTTTGCGGTGCGGATCATTAGTACTTGGTTTAAGTATTCAACAAAGTATTTGATGTGAAAACACTAGATCATGGACTAAAAACTTTTGTAGTCAGTCAAGAGGACAGAATACCTTTAAATGTGTTGAAAAAAGATACTGGTTTCAAGATTGAATCTATTTGTTTCTTAATTCTAGAGGACAGAATAACTTTAGATGTGTTAAGAAAGAGAATAAGAAGAGAAATGAGACAGAGAAAAGAAAGAAATTATTATTGATTTTACTTCTTACTTTACTTCTTTTCTCATTATTTAAACTCTTTCATTTTTACATCTTTAATCTTCAGTTGTTATAAAAAACACTGTGTGTTTTATTTCAACTTGAAATCCTCCAGTCAAATCAATATAAACAGCCGGGGTCATCTATATAGAAGAAATATACGTCAATTAGCACCATGGAATCTTAGAAATGACGGTCAAGTTAACACGAAATAGAGACTTGCTTAACGTAAGGTGATTGAAAAAACCAGAATTACTCATCAATTAACTTGGTTCAATTCAGTTCTATTTGTCACGGTCCCGAGGACACAAAACTTTTTATACTTAGCGAGATTTTACTCAAATTTCTGAAAGCTATTACAGATACATAACTGATTCTATCAAAAAAAAATATATCAGTCTATTCCTTAGGACACAATGTTTCTGATATCATCAGATTAATCTTTAAATATTAACTTTTCTTGAAACGAGGGGTATTATGAATTTGTGTAAAACATTAGCTGAGCGTGAGAAATGTTTTATGGCCCCGGGTTCAATATGATTATCTCTTCTTAATTGATGTTATTAATTGTTTTTTCTGTGTAGATTTAAATAAATGATTAAAGTTAAAAAACCATAATCTCGATAAATTACATTCGAATCAAAACACTGAAGTATCTTCAAGCCTACATTAGCCGCTATGTTAAATTTATCTTTGCTTCTGAAATGCCGTTCCACCTTTTCTATATTTAATTATTATTAATTATTATTCTGGCATAACATAACAAGTAACATAGGACAACCTTAGGACTTCTAGTATTTTGAAGAGGAACTCTACCCACAAACAGAGTCTATGACTTAATTTTTTTGGGGTAAATGTCAGGCCAACATAGCAATAAAGAGATTGTAAAGAGGTTTTCTATGTGTATTGTGGACACTGATAGTATCAATTTCTACCATTCCAATTTTCAATCAGACGTCTGTGGTTCCTGCAACTCCATTAAAACTAAGAGTATATTTTGCAAATAGTGATGCCATCAAACACTTATCTTTAGTGGAACTACAGGAACCACAGACGTCTGGTTAAAAGTTCGAATGATGGAAATTGACGCTATCGGTGTCCCCGATACACTGAGTAACAACATGATTCAAGTTCTGTTTTATTATTTCCAAGTTTTAACTATATAGTTTATTTTGAGGAGGAACAGGCGATATAAACAAGTTTAGAATCAATATTCCAGCAGGCTTTAACATGGATATTATTTTAACAAAATTGCTATACATCTCTGTATATTACACACTGGGGACTGCCTTATTATACATTGGAGAATTCCTTTATTATACACCGGGAATACATCTTTCAAGTACATCTTAAATACATACTTAACAAATTGAAGGTTTGGCCAAGGATCAGCTGATAGAAAGGATCCTTTGTGAACCTAAGTTGTTATCATTGTAGGCCTAAATATAGCTGTTTCTTCTTTCTTTCTTAGAAGACTACTTAAGCTAATATCTATAGTCATAAAACTGGTAGCTAATTTGATCTACTTGTAACTGATATAATGACATTACAAGTAGCTGATTACAACCAATGATTACCTGATTGTTCCTAGCTCTGTATTTATCCTATGATTGTCAAACACTCAGTCAATCTGCCACGAGCTGTTAATGACTATGTCAGGCAAACTGAAATATGAGAAATAGTCAGGGATTTGGTTTCGAATAAAATTTATTCACCATCACGCTCGTTCAAAATCTGTCATTTTTCATTTTACAGGTGCGTGTCATAAATTTGGATGGGAGATTTTAGGAACCATTAAACTGTTGATTTTAGGGAACAATGGGACAGTGGCTTCACAAAGAAAACATTGGTGAGGGGAGCGATCGGGGGGACACCGGGGGAGGGGAGCTTTGCAAAGGGAACGCTTTCACTATGTAAACTGATAAAAAAAATAGTGAAGTTGGAGAGGGGGGAGGGGCAAAAACCGGTCCAACCTCTTTTCTTGGGTGGTCAGTCCCTACCCCCTTCACTCCCGTAGATTGCCCATCGTATGGCTACGATTACAATATGAGTTTGATTCTCCTGTCTTTGAGCCACTGATGTAAAACTCAATTGGAAACTGTATTTACAATAATGATATAGACTTCATTTCAATTTCAAGCAACATGCGAAACAGTACTTTACATGTCATTTAATAATTACTAAAAAAACAACCTAGCATTGTGTTAGATTCTGTTTTTTTAACTTGGGAATTATTAAATTGCTCCTTGTATCCCGGAGGTGCATATCAATCGTTAACGGTCTACTTAAACTCGTATTCCTTCTCGCCTCGTAAAGGAAATGTGTATAAATATTAGATAAGGCCGAGTTCTCGTATCACGGCCTAAACAATGTAAGAACCATTATTCAAATGAAACCTGGATTGGCATTCATTCTTTTTATTGATTGATCATGATTTATTTGTTTGATGAGCAATCTAGACAATTGCTAGCATACTTCAGTCACGACGCCAGTGAGGTTACAGAAAAACCTAAATTTTTCACAAATTGAAAGATATGATTTTTATACTTTTTACCCAAAAATATATGTCAAAATGCACCAAATCAATTTAATATTTTGATAATTTTCTTGGGATAGCCCTCTCAGACGCCATATGAGAGGTTTGCGACTATGACGTCTCCACAGAGTTGCTGCATTTTGCATTCAGTCTCGACATTGTCCCCCCCCCCCCATTGAGTCAGTCTGTCCCCTATTTTTACCCCCAGTAATTATTCTTTTGTTTTGTTCAAGTCGTTCAAGAGTCTTCCTCAACACAACCAGAGACCTTACATTATTCAGAGTAAGCAAAATTACATTGGTATTAATACAGTTGACGATTTATGAGAATAACTACAAGCGAGTACACATCGCCGATTGTACTTATTCCAAAGCGTTCAGTCCATAGCGTTTTTGTATTGATTATCGGGATCAAACAGTCAATTAATTAAATAAATATATACTTAAACCTTCTATTACCGATTTTATATCCTCGTCAGGTGATTGTTAATATTGACAAGTTTTGATCTAAACAGTGGGTATTGGCAAGTAGGATATATAATGGCAAACCTTGAATACAAATTTAATGCATATTTCTAATATCAAAACCATCTTAGATAAATTGTAAAGAGGTTTTCTTAATTTGTATGTGTATCGGGGACACTGATAGCATCAATTTACATCATTCTTTCTATCAGATGTCTGCAATTTCACTAGAACTAAGTGTTTAATGACGTCACTAATCGCAATTACAATCTTTTAATATTTGTATTTTCAGTATATCGAGATAGAAAGTTTACAGTGGTATTAAAGTGGTATTTAAGATTATCGTTAATTCTACTGTCTGTTAGCTGCGCGTCGATGTTGATGGGTATTATTACAGTGTATGCTATAGATGATGAACCTTTATTGACCTTCTTCACAGGATCTTCCATCTGGACCGGGGCCTTGGTAAGTTTCTTCAACTCACCGAGTTTACAGTTGCTGCGCCAGTACAGGAGCGGGGTTCTTCAAAAGCAGTTTGTCCCGCAAAAAAAATTATTGCCAAGAATGCACCATGTTTTCTATTTTTCAAAAGTTTTCTTTAGATAGAACCCTCTGTTGCGCTTCCTCGAAGCTGAAACGTATTGTATCCCAACCTCTCTGATTAAATAATTAATGTATCACGATCCTGTATATTTCAGGGTGTTATTGGAGGTGCTATAGTATTTGTTGATTGGAGAAACATGAACCAGAATGGTCCCCCACTGACAACGTCTATTCTTGTAAGTTCCCTCTAACAACGTCTATTCTTATAAGTTCCCACTGACAACGTCTATTCTTGTAAGTTCCCTCTAACAACGTCTATGCTTGTAAGTTCCCTCTGACAACGTCTATTCTTGTTAGTTCCCTCTGATAACGTCTATTCTTGTAAGATCCCTCTGACAACGTCTATTCTTGTAAGTTCCCTCTGACAACGTCTATTCTTGTAAGATCCCTCTGACAACGTCTATTCTTGTAAGATCCCTCTAACAACGTCTATTCTTGTAAGTTCCCACTAACAACGTCTATTCTTGTAAGATCCCTCTAACAACGTCTATTCTTGTAAGTTCCCTCTAACAACATCTATTCTTGTAAGTTCCCTCTGACAACGTCTATTCTTGTAAGTTCCCTCTGACAACATCTATTCTTCTAAGATCCCTCTGACAACGTCTATTCTTGTAAGTTCCCTCTGACAACGTCTATTCTTGTAAGATCCCTCTGACAACGTCTATTCTTGTAAGTTCCCTCTGACAACATCTATTCTTGTAAGTTCCCTCTGACAACGTCTATTCTTGTAAGTTCCCTCTGACAACGTCTATTCTTGTAAGTTCCCTCTGACAACGTCTATTCTTGTAAGTTCCCTCTAACAACGTCTATTCTTGTAAGTTCCCTCTGACAACATCTATTCTTGTAAGTTCCCTCTGACAACGTCTATTCTTGTTAGTTCCCTCTGACAACGTCTATTCTTGTTAGTTCCCTCTGACAACGTCTATTCTTGTAAGTTCCCTCTTACAACGTCTATTCTTGTAAGTTCCCTCTGACAACGTCTATTCTTGTAAGTTCACCACTGACCCTTTCAAATATGATTAAAAATAGGCATTTCACTTTCTTTTGTCGTCATTTTAACTTTCATAAGCGGATAACTCGTGTATACACTCATAGATTTGATGGCCTAAATTTTGAGTTATGAACACTATTACTAATTAACTAAGCTAACAAATTCCCTTTTCCGAGGCTAGGATACGATTGGTCAAATGGGTGGAGAACATGTCCCTTTAAAAGGCCTGCTACCAGGGCTGTAACTAGGGTTTTTTTTATCTATGAAGCAGAAATCGATTCGTCTTTGAAGTCAGTTATGTCTTTCATCCCAAACAATTATCAACTTTACCATAGACATCAAATAAGCTATATATTTACCGGATGTCATATTTTTAATTCTAATTTTGTAACCAAGTTCTTTTGTCAAATTTGGCATGATGCATTTGCCTTAGTTAGGAAACATCTAGATCTGTACTTCGATATTGCATTACAACAAGAGAACATCTTCTTCATATTTGATAACATTCGGCAATCCTCGGCAGTTTCCGTAAAGCTGAATGTTTCATAAAACGATTAGCAATTACTGATGACAATAACCAGAATGACAAGGGCCCATAAGACAGAGGAGAGGGAAACTTCATAATTATTGATGTTGATCGCGTCGAATTGTCTCCAGACGATTCATGAGCTCAGTTCAGTTCTGAACTTTAGCAAAAACATTTTGTCTTTTTTATGAACCTATTCTTAAAGCTAGTTAAAAAATATGTAAACTGAACGCTAGGGCCTGCTTCAAAGAAACTTAACTAAAATAGAATCAAAATCCAAGAAATAAACCAAAAAATTCATTGATTGACAAATGAGAAAGCCAGAACATGAGGATGTTTTTATTATATTTTTTGTGAACCATCCCCGAGGTATTCTGTGTCCTTTAATTCATTTATTTGTTGATCAAGCCCTCAGCATCAGACAGACTTAGATCAAGAGCCATATCATATTTCTAGTCTGTAAAGAGACAGGTTCGCCATTTTCGACAGATTTTTCTGATGGTTTTGGGTTTGAAATTTATGTAAATAGTCTTCAGAAGTACTAGAAATTCCTTCAAAATACCTCAAACTAGAAATTTCACTTTCTCTTTCTCTATGTCTGTTCTGTATACCTTAAGAAAAGACGAGTTGTCATTTTAAAATTTAAACGCGCATAATTCTTGACACATGGATTTGAAGGCTAAGATTACACTGTAATGGACTAGTTTAATTTTTAAAAAATCTCATTTTTGAGACTAAGGTAGATTGGTAGAACGGATGGCGTATCTGTCCCTTTAATGAATTCTATTTTTTATTTCAGGTTTTGTTACACTGTGTGTTTGAAATGATTTGTGCGGCCTTCTGTTTGTTTGTGGCCATATGGAATGGTACCGGATGTACATCGCAGATAGCTATACACCCGGAATGTCACGTACATAGACCATCAAATTTCACCACGTCGGTCCTGGACTACACAGTTTCCGTTTTATTATTGCTGATCTGCTTAACTATACCAATATTCGTCATTTTTAACAGAAATATTTTTGGATCCAAGTCGATTGATGAGAGATTAAAAGACATTGAAAATAAATTAGAGATTAAAATGAACGATATTGATCAGAATTCAGATTCAGTTTACAACGCTGGTTATTGATGATTTGACAGTGGATTGGATACAGTGAGTGGTTTATATTTGAAATGACAGTGGACGATTTGACAGTGAATTGGATACAGGGAATGGTTTTTATTTGAAATGACAGTGGACGGTTTGACAGTGGATTGGATACAGTGAATGGTTTATATTTGAAATGACAGAGGATGATTTGACAGTGGATTGGATACAGTGAGTGGTTTATATTTGAAATGACAGTAGACGATTTGACAGTGGATTGGATGCAGTGAGTGGTTTATATTTGAAATGACAGTGGATGATTTGACAGTGGATTGGATACAGTGAGTGGTTTATATTTGAAATGACAGTGGATTGGATGCAGTGAATGGTTTATATTTGAAATGACAGAGGATGATTTGACAGTGGATTGGATGCTGTGAATGGTTTATATTTGAAATGCCAGTAGACGATTTGACAGTGGATTGGATGCAGTGAATGGTTTATATTTGAAATGACAGTGGACGATCTGACAGTGGATTGGATGCAGTGAGTGGTTTATATTTGAAATGACAGAGGATGATTTGACAGTGGATTGGATACAGTCAATGGTTTATATTTGAAATGACAGTAGACGATTTGACAGTGGATTGGATGCAGTGAATGGTTTATATTTGAAATGACAGTAGACGATTTGACAGTGGATTGGATACAGTGAGTGGTTTATATTTGAAATGACAGAGGATGATTTGACAGTGGATTGGATACAGGGAATGGTTTATATTTGAAATGACAGAGGACGATTTGACAGTGGATTGGATACAGTGAATGGTTTATATTTGAAATGACAGTAGACGATTTGACAGTGGATTGGATGCAGTGAGTGGTTTATATTTGAAATGACTGTAGACGATTTGACAGTGGATTGGATGCTGTGAATGGTTTATATTTGAAATGACAGTGGATGATTTGACAGTGGATTGGATGCAGTGAGTGGTTTATATTTGAAATGACAGTGGACGATTTGACAGTGGATTGGATACAGTTAATGGTTTATATTTGAATGGTTCGGTAATATAATTGGTTTGAAACTAGCGCAGTTTGAAATTGAGTTGGGTTGACACAACTACAGGTTGACATTGAGTTGGGTTGACACAAGTACAGTTTGACTTTGAATTGGGTTGACACATGTACAGTTTGACTATGAGTTGGGTTGACACAAGTACAGTTGGACTTTGAGATGGGTTGACACTAGTACAGTTTGACTTTGAGATGGGTTGACATGAATACAGTTTGACTTTGAGATGGGTTGACACAAGTACAGTTTGACATTGAGTTGGCTTGACTATAAAGTGGATTTACTTACTCACTAATGATCAATATACTTCATTATGTAAAAAGTTCATTAGTTTCTGCCAATATTTTGCCAATATGATGCTCATGCATTTCGGGTTTCCTTTTGCAATTTGGTTGGTACATGGTTTATTTATTGATAGCTTTAGAAATGTTTGAATCAGAAGGCATGAAGATTACCACTTATTTGTGTTTAATGTTACCACTTATTTGTGTTTAATGTTACCACTTATTTGTGTTTAATGTTACCACTTATTTGTGTTTAATGTATTTTCAATTGATCTTTACCATCATTATTCTGCTAATTTGAAGAAAGAACCACCAGTTTACAACTGAATTAAACTCAGCTGATTGTTATTAATGATTGATATTTAAACAAACACCATGTTTTATATAAGTTTTTTAATAATAAATATTACTTGGACGGAATGTTTTACATGATTTACATCAAAAAATAATTTGATATTTATCTCCCTTGGCATACAATATTAACACAAACCAACAGTTTAATTATTAAATTCAACAGAAGCTATTTCGATATCATCTTCAGTTGCCAACATCTTTAACTCGTGTTCTATCATCTGCTGTCGTAAAGCATTACACCTCAATCTTTCTCTGATCTCATCATATCTAAAATAATGGTAAAATTATGGTTAGCTACTCCTGAGTTTTATTGTACACAACGTTTCAACAATTTACATTGTTATCATTAGTTTATATAGTATACTACTCCTGAGTTTTATTGTATACAACGTTTCAACAATTTACATTGTAACCATCAGTTTATATAGCATACTACTCTTGTTTTTAATAAGATGAAATAGGCAAATATTAAACAACACACAAACAAGATTATAACAATCTTGATAAAAACCTACCCATTTTCTGGACTAAGTGTAACATCAACCTCTGATATTTCATAAGAATCTACAGCAGTTACTGGGTCTATAAAACATATCTTTTAATCAGTGGGGTTTCTAGGAAACAGGCAGAGTGGTGGAGTAGGGGCTGCAGACTTGAGTTTACAACACGAGACAATTAAAAACTCAATGATAAAATATTTAGGAGGGGTGGGCGAAGCAATTTGTTGATTTGCCTATTATTCTCAAACCCTCAAATTAAATAAAAATTCGACCAAATGTTTGTTCCACTTTTTATTAGCTTTTATTTTCAATATAGCCACTTCAGTTAGGTCCACTGGCCTCTTGAACATTTGTCAGTTTGATGACACAACCATCCAATCAAATTTCTACCTGGGATTTCGTGACGCAAACAAAAATTGTATTCAGTGTCGAATGCTTCTAGGAAAACACCTTTTGTTTGAGTCACAAAATCCCATCGTTGGAAAAAAAAAATGGAACGAAAAAGTTTTCAAATAACTTCAAAACACTGGCTTATTCAAACTCCTACTAGGATATTCCTACTCACCATATTGTAAAACTGGAAAATCTCCGTCTTCCGACAGACCTCTTGACTGATTGCTCATTCTTATTAAACCTTCTGGCTGCTCATTGGTTGATTCATCCATCATGTGACTTAAATCCGACAATCTCATTGGTTCATTCATTGATTCACTAATTATTGTGGGTTTTTTATTTTCACGACTCGATAAGACATAAGGAGGTAAAATATTTTCTCCAGAGATTTCACTTAACCCTTCGATATAATACTGAGGTGGTGGTAATACACGACTCTTTAGTTCAGGGTTCACATGGTGGCCATTTTGTTTATTGTCATGGTGACCATCTTGTCCAATATGGTGGCTATTTTGTCCACTGTGATGTCCAATTTCCTCATTTCTATTGCGCATTTCATTACTAAACTGGTCATTTTGATTGGCTAATTTCTCGGGAATGCTGTTTATGGAGTCATTATGATGCTGACTGATTTGACTATAGTCGCTCGAATGTAATGCTGTTTGTTGATGTGTTGGAAGAGTTATGGATCCTGGTTGATTACTGATTGGTTGAGAGTGACCAATAGGGTGCACCACCGTTTGTTTATAATGATGAGTTGTCTGTCCTTGAGACTGATGTCCGCTAGATTTAAAAGATTGATGATATTGTGTTTGTTTTGATTCTTTAGTTTGAACAACAGACATGGCTGCTCTCTCGTAGCCCGAAACTTTGGTTTGTAGTCGAACTATCTCTGATTCCTACAAATCATACAAAATAAAATGAAATATAAACAGACAGACAGATATTTTTTACAAGTATAAACAACTTAAAATCTCAAGTATTTCTTCCAGAGTATCTGTAACTGAACAAAAGTGAAATGAAATGAAATAAATCGACTTTTACGTCCTACTTTTCTGCACCACGTGGGAAATTTGCAATGAGGGAAATTTTGGCAGGGCAGAAGCATTAGCCTGCTCTTTTTATATTTCCAACTGTCGAGGGATCTGCACAGCCTGTATCACAAAGGGCCTCGTTTTATTGTCCCATCCGAACAACGTTTTTTCCATGTCAGCCCCTCTCACCTGCGTAACTGGCTACATCAATTATATATTCCCATGTCAACTAATGTTTCATTGGCTACATCAATGATCTGTTTCCATGTCAACAACTTACCTTAATAACTAATGTTTCATTGGCTACATCAATGATCTGTTTCCATGTCAACAACTTACCTTAATAACTAATGTTTCATTGGCTACATCAATGATCTGTTTCCATGTCAACAACTTACCTTAATAACTAATGTTTCATTGGCTACATCAATGATCTGTTTCCATGTCAACAACTTACCTTAATAACTAATGTTTCATTGGCTACATCAATGATCTGTTTCCATGTCAACAACTTACCTTAATAACTAATGTTTCATTGGCTACATCAATTATCTGTTTCCATGTCAACAACTTACCTTAATAACTAGTGTTTCATTGGCTACATCAATGATCTGTTTCCATGTCAACAACTTACCTTAATAACTAATGTTTCATTGGCTACATCAATGATCTGTTTCCATGTCAACAACTTACCTTAATAACTAATGTTTCATTGGCTACATCAATTATCTGTTTCCAGGTCAACAACTTACCTTAATAACTAGTGTTTCATTGGCTACATCAATTATCTGTTTCCATGAACTAATGTTTCATTGGCTACATCAATTATCTGTTTCCATGTCAACAACTTACCTTAATAACTAGTGTTTCATTGGCTACATCAATGATCTGTTTCCATGTCAACAACTTACCTTAATAACTAGTGTTTCATTGGCTACATCAATGATCTGTTTCCATGTCAACAACTTACCTTAATAACTAATGTTTCATTGGCTACATCAATTATCTGTTTCCATGTCAACAACTTACCTTAATAACTAATGTTTCATTGGCTACATCAATTATCTGTTTCCATGTCAACAACTTACCTTAATAACTAATGTTTCATTGGCTACATCAATGATCTGTTTCCGTGTCAACAATTCATTCTGTAAACAATCTAATTCATCGTGAGATTTCAACAGTTGATCTTTATACTCTTCCTCTATTTCATTCAGTTCTTTCATCCTTCTCTCCATTTCTTTTTGTAATTCATTCTTCAGCGATTTTACTTCTTTCTCACTCTCTTTGCTCTTAGTTGTCTACAAAATCAAGAAAACATTGAGATGAATGAAGATTTACCCATTGGACTCAAGACAGCAGGGCTGTTGATTTTTTTATCAATCGGACACTTTTCAACGAC